GACCAATTTCGATAATTTTCTTTTAAAATATTCCTTGAAGTCNCCTCTGCTTTATATCCCTACCACTCCTTCCGTCGTGACTTATCTCACTTCCTAGGTATTTAAAATTAGCTACTTCTTCTAATTTTTCGTCTCCTATCTTTATATTTGCTCTTTCCCTACTTTTTCTTCCCTTGCATACCAGTAATATGTATAGCGACGGAATATAAAATGTGATTTTTAGACAAGGAAAGTAAAGCCATTCAGGGGATGGTGAATGGATATTGCTTATCAGGGGCGCAACAAGGGGGGTCCACGGGTGCCTAAGCACCCACTCGATTAGGTTGGGCACCCAGTCAATTCCAGTCGATTCAGATAATAACCCAACTTAAAAGTTCGGTTCAAATAGTTCAAACTCGTAAATGAGTAGCCGAACTCGATCTTTTCAGCTTACACACACCTGCAGTACATAAATACCTATTTATAATATTGTAATGTTCGTGGGTTTAACAAATTAACTTCTAAGAAGAAAACTATTCATTTACACTAATTATTATTGAACTTAAAAACACTATTCAATTATTACTAAACTTAGGTAATTATTCTATTTATTTACCCTACTGTTACTATTCACTGTTCTATTTATTTCACTTCTATCACTGTCAATTTATTTCTTCATTCACTTCCGCAACGGTCAATTTATTTCTACTCTACTCCGGCGATCGTCTCTTCCTTTAAATACTCCCTTGCTTCCTTTCGGGAACATTCTCAAGCCGTCCGGAAAAGTTTCGTTTTCTTCGAACTGTTTAATTGCTTTCCCGGAACGCAGGTACGACACACACGTTTACATATACGGCGCACATGAAGAAAGGCGCCCGCGGCTAGTCGGCGAATCGATAAGCCGCTCACACACACGTTTGCCCGATCGCACACAAACACGCTCGTGCTCGCTACAGTATTATAATGGGAGCACCCAGTCAAACTGTAACGTTGTTGAGCCCCTGGTGCTTATACTCTAACCATGCAACGGAAGTGTCATAACGGAAAGAGAAGCGAAAACAGAAATAAATAGCAAATTTTTGCGGAAGCGGACGCGGAAGCGGAAGTGTAATAATTGTAGATGCGCCCTTTCCGTGAATATTTTGTTAAAAATTTTGCATTTAGCAATTGTATCGTTAATAACAAATTTATACCACTGAGCAAAAACTATACAAAATAAATAAACGCTATAACTGTATAATATTTTCGAAAAGAAATTATTAGAACTGGCTCAGGAGCTGAAAGTCCTGGATGTGTTTTTAGATTAAATGAGGAAACTAATAAGAGAATAAAATTTGGAAAGTATCAACCTACGAAATACTATGATTTAGGCCCTAAACTATAATACAGTTATTTGCACAAGGGCAATATTATTATTAACAAAATTTAAGTGGTTACAACGCTACATTGACGCTAATACTTCATAAAATAAACGGTTGATAATAATACATTCGCTAACAATGCTACAGAGGGGTAGCTGAAAGCTGGGGCAGGTACCTGCACAACATGCAGCTTTGCAACGAACGATTCCATTTAAATTGTGTGTTGAAAGCGGCCAAGTTTAACCAACAGAAAAATGTAATAAATTTTTACGATTTGTTTTATTGCTCCGGTATATCGATTTTCAAAAAGATGTGAAATAAGATTTTGTTAAGTTATAAAAATGCGGAACCATATGCAGAAGCGGATGTGAAAGTGTATGCGGAATTTCCGTAATTGCGGAAGCGGAAACAGACGTCTGTTGCAACACTACTATACACTTGTAGTTAGAGTTTATTGGCTGCACCGATGCTCCTCTTCGTTGCTTAGTTACCATGAATTCAAATGCAGCTAGAGTTTCGTTACATTTATTAACCATGAAAATGGTAGAAATTTTGTCTTTGGGATTCCGTACGTCCGAATGAAAAACGGAACCCTTATAGGATTACTCGTGTGTCTGTCTGTCTATCACAGTCAATTTGCTCCGAATCTACTGGGCCGATCAAGTTGAAATTTACTGTACATATGAATAAATAAATTAATTCTGAACATGGGGACCATTTTGGGGGGCTAATACCATGCAACATATCAAATTAAAGGGCTTCTTGCAAGGTTCTCAAGCATATTTTTTATAATTTTAAAATAAACAGTTTTACAATTAATATTAAGAAAATAAATGAAAATTGACCTTCCCCCCCCCCCGTCCTTATCTCCGAAACTAGTGAACCTAAAATTTTGAAAAAATACAAAAAATAGTTCTTAACCGATAGATTACATTTGTAGTTTGAATATATGGGAGAACATGTTTTTTTCAATTACAATGTTTGAGTTCCGTACGTCTGAATGGAAACGAAAAACCCTTATAGGATCACTCGTGTATCTGTCGGTTTGTTCGTTTTGTATAATATTATTTTACTACCAATTTTGTTAATTTTGATAATTTTCGATTTATGATGCTGCTAGAAGTAACGAATTCACAAGGAAGTATTTTTTTCTGTTTAGCAAAAATTACCATTTTTGATTCGATTCTAGAATATGGAGGACCAGAATCTGTTCTTTTTTTGTTATTAAAATTTTGTGTGTGGATGAAAAAATGGTTTTAACAGATACGTGCTATTTTAATATGAAAAGTTATATTATTTATAGAGAGACGTTATGGATTCAGTCGGCTATCATTATTCCCTGACTTGCGACGATCTGTTGGGATCTTTTAGATAATTGATGGGATTCTAATGCAGAAATATAACGTTTTAAGTACGATTTAATATATAATATCACAAGGATCTATTTCACGAAACGAATGCATAATTTTTTGCGGAATTTTTTATTGAAATATCAATAAACAATAAACCTTAGAAAAAGGATACGACCACAAATGAAACTTGCACACTGAATAAGAGGAAAATTTTTCCATTAATTAAGGTGTTATTAACAGATGTCATATCCATTAAAAATTCATCTCGAACAAAAAAACGAAATTTGATGTATCTTTAGGATCATTGACGTAAGTAATTTAAAAAAAAAATGGAATATTAAATAAATTTAAACATGAAAAACAAGAACCATACAAGGACTTCTCCATAAAATTCGTTTGTGTTGTCTTTGTTTGACTAAATTTTATTGCTGCATCAGAATTAGTTAAACTTTCATTAAAAATTTTAATGAGAATTTTATTCCGCGATAAATACACACTTTTTTTTTCAGATTCAGGATGCTAGATTGTATTTCCCCAGAAATATCTTTATTTTGCAAATAATTCTTCACATAAAAAGGTTAATGCAAAAGTAATTATTATTACGTATTAATGGTATAACGATTAAATTATTTTCGAGTAGAATAATAATGTGGCCTTGCCCCCCCCCCCAAATCCAACACTAACAACTAACAGGCAAGAAACACTGTCTTTCAGCTTAGTCATAAGGAAGAAGAGGTATTTGATGGAACGGGAAAACAGGGGACTCTATTGATGTCAATAAGACATATTAGAGGCAGAAACAGGAGCTAAGAGGAGCAGAGGTAGATCTAGATTAGATTACTTTTGGCAAATAGTTAAGGATGTGGGTTATTCTAGTTTTAAGGAAATGCGAAGGTTAGCTTAGGATAGGAAAATGTGGAGGTGCATGCCCAACAAGTCCTTAAGACTTGTTAGAACAGGTAGGTAGAATAACTAGGTTAGAATGTTTTAAACATTTTCTACTAAATTAATTATCTTCTGCCTTTTCGCTTCCTTCCAACAAGGTGTACATATTACATAATTGTATATATGTATGCATGAAACATAAACTTATTAAAAGAAACGGTAAATGTCTAGTTGATGGCCCTCACTCCTAAAGGGGGTGGGGGTGGGTGGGATCGAAAGAGGAGGTCTCCCCTACCACTGTACCATAAAAAGTTCGTGACGGTCTCACCCCCATAAAAGGTTATGGGGGTTAGATGGGGGTGGGGGTAGGGAGGATCGAAAGAGGGTGGTCATCTGTGTAAAACCCCATAAAAAATTTGCGGTGGTCTCTCCCCCATAAATAGTTGAAAGTTGATTATTTTGACAATTTTCATACACTATAATTCAACTAAAATTCAATAAAATACTTATTTTCAAACGGGTGAAGGTGGGGGATCGAAAGAGGGTGGTCATTTGAACAAAACCCGATAACCTAACCTAACCTATATTTTTATGTATTTTTCATTAGTTTTACCTTTGAATATTGTTTAAGAATGACTATATAAATATTTACATGCCTAAAAATGTATAAACATTGGCATATTTATTAACTTTGAACCTCCCATAACTTCTTATGGGGGTAAGACCGCCACGAACTTTTTATGGTACAGTGGTGGGAGAGACTCCCTCTCTCGATCCCCCTCACCCACCATCATCTAGACCTTTACCAAAGAAACTAATCCTAATAACAACAAAAATTGCCAATATCGAATACATGTACGTATAGGTTACAGGACGCCGTAAAATTCACGGCTTATTAACTAATTTAATTTAATTCTAAAAATCTTACAACGATGAAGAAGGTTCTATACGAAATCCGACAGATGAGGAACATTGTCATCTAGGATTGAAATATTAATGTGAAAATTCATTTTCAATTTCCATTCACTACAAACCACCTCAGATTAATGTGGAAAAATTTTTGTTGCATTTTTGTCACACCCCTGCCGGGAATCGACCCCGGGACCTTTGACTTTACGCTCCATTGTACCTTATTAAGCTGAGGAAGTTTGTAGTGGATGGAAAATTGAAAATAAATTTTCACATTAATATTTCATAATAACCCCTATTAATAATTAAAAATATTAGTGTTTCATCTAGTTTTGAGATTAGTAATACGGTTCCATACGGAACATCTAACTAATACGACAAGAAACATTGTTATCCACTTCTGAGCACAGCAATAAGGTTCTATACGGAAACGGTAACTTGAAATTTTAGGGAAAGTGGAGTAATTTGGTTTTTAAATTAATAATATTTAGAAAGGCGTATACTGGACACTTACTTGAATTTGAAAGAAATGGATTTTGCCAGTTTGTGTTCCGTCTCCTATTCTTGATAGAAAGTCTAAGAGAAGTTCTGTAAAATGCACTTCTGTCACCGTTATTTGCACATCTTTTCATTTCATTGCACTTTTCGTTTTTCCTAACACATATCTGGTCCCTTTCACGCTGAACTTCGTCCTTGTTATAAAACAAAGGTTCGTAATTTTCGTTGGGAGGGATCTGAAGGATCGCGGCAGCTTTTGGGGCTATGATCTTTGACGGTTGAGTGGACACCCTTTTGCCACCGAGATCGTTTTTCATTTTCATTAAAGCGTCGACCTTTTTCAAGAGATACAGCTTCGAAAATTTTTGTTCGCTGTCCGACGAATCAGCAGGCGTTTTCAGGATGGTTTCAGGAAGATGATCCCTTTGATGATAGAAAAGGTTTTCATAATCCGCATTTATGTAATTTCGACAAAAGACGTCCGAAACTCTTCGGGGCGACGGCATCAAGGTGGTCATGGACGGAGCCTTTTTTAACAACGGCCTGCTGTCACTCGTTGTTTTGTAATTGAGGAAGCGATTGCCGATTTGTCTCAGCGATGCCCTGACGCTCTTCGATCGCTTTAAATGGTTATTGGGAACTTCGCTGGCGCTTTTTCGTCTTTCCAAAAGAATGTCGGTCATTTTCTTTTCTGATTTCGAAGGTTTAATAACCTTTCCCATCACATCTAGATGCTTATGCACGGCCTTCTTAATTTTCGAACGGACTAATAATAATTTAACGTTTCAGTAGGGCATTTCTTAGCTTTTCTGCTTATACAAATTCATTTGGATTTGGCTCGATCGGTACCGTTTTTTCCTATACGGATACGTAGTGCTTTGTTTCACCTTTAAAGATTTATAGACAATTAATTTTTTTACGAAATAAATAGCTTTTCGCCTTTCGAATAACTATCGTTAAGTTTACGCCTTTGCTTCAGCAATAAAATTTGTTACACTCATGTTTTTAATGGAGTAAGAAACGCAGGCGGTACCGTATGTCAGTTTTTGTGCTTAGAGATAACAGTTTGTACAATAAGTGCCTCTTATTAGATACCTTAAAGTGTCCATAAATATGAAACAACCAGACTCAGTGGATATGAAAAGGAGTTATTGGAAAAGATCGTCTAAATGGTGATGCTGATAGTCCTGATTCTTTTTTTGTTCTTTAACTTTTATTTTAGTTTGTTTATTTTTCAAGTACTGTAGCTTATTTACCCTTAAACATTGTATTCTATCGGCAAGTTAAAATGCGTTCCGGTTATTTTACTTAATTTTTCTTGTTTTTTAGTTGATGGATGATAGGTCGAAGGCCCGTTAGAAACTTTCACTTGTATCATCTGAGAAATGGGTCCTGAGAAGAATATAATTATTGCTCGCTTTTCTCATTTTCTCATTATCTTAATTATCTAAGTGGCTAGGCGTTTTTTCACGCACTTAACTGAAGTGTTTCCTTCTATTCTATTATATTTTTTGTTGCTGAGTTTCTATTTCACAATTACTCAATTATATGTACATTTTAAGTTTAACCATTTTATTTCATTGTATCGCACCCTAGATGTACATTTCCTTGTTTAGTAGAATTGGCATCTTTGTGTTTACTTGAAATTCGATCTTCTCTCATACGAAATTCGATCAACGAGTATCAGGATCACTCACTACCGAAGTTTATCAGCCGGCGACAAATCTTCGCATGAGCCACAATAAACACAAACATTTGATTGCGTTGGCCACTTATTAACCGTCACTACTCGATGTTCTGTTTTTTAAATTTTAACGGTTAGAACAACTTGGGCCTCGTTGAGTTGACGAGATCAAAGGCGTTGGTAACGTTTCAAACGATCTGCAAACAAACGAAGAATCCGGTCGCGTGTGAACCGTGATACCACACAGAAGACGAAGAACCACGGACTATGCTGTTGTTGCTGGTGCTGTTGAAAAACACGCCAACAGCTGGTAGAGTCGAAGAGGTGGAAGGAGAGAGGACGTTATGAAGGTCCCCCTGTGTATGCATAAATGGGGAGCACACGAACTCGTTGCTACAAGCATGCGAGAAATAAAATCCCATGCGTCAGTTCCAACTAAAGCAGCAGATGAAGCTTTTAAATAGTTAGTACGTTTAAATATTCAGAGACGGGAAAATAAAGGACTGTTTCAGTAACATAGTCATTCCTTGTCCTTCCAACGAGAGCATAAGCCAGGGGCATACTACAGGAACATATGGATTTAGCAAAATGGAGGCACCAGCTATACTTCCAGCGAGATCATAAATCAAAAGCATATTACAAGAATACATGGATTCAGCAAGATGGAATCACTAGCTATTCCTTCAACGAGAGCATGAGTCAGGAGGATACAACAGGAACACATGGTTTCAGTAAGATATAGTCACTACCTGTCCTTCCAATGAGAAAATAAGCCAGGGGCATACTACAGGAATATATGGATTTAGCAAAATGGAGCCAATAGCTATACTTCCAGCGAGAGCATCAGTTAGGAGCATACTACTGGAACACACGGATTCAGCAAAATGGAGCCACTAGCCACATTTTTAACGAACAGCATGTCAGGAGGATCCTAGAGGAACGCAAAATAGAGCCACCAGCTATACTTCCAGAGAGAGCATAAGTCCAGGACTATACTAAGATGGAACCACCAGCTATTCTTTCAACGAGAGTATAAGTCAAGAGGATAGTACAGGAATACATGGCTTTAGTAAGATGAAGTCGTAGTCATACTCTGATTTGTCTCCAGCAATTTTTGTATTGTTTTTTTTATTTAAATGAGTAATGTTTTTCAATAATTCAATGACGTTGTATCAAGTCAAGATTAATAACGAACAGGAATTAAATTCAGTTTCAAACTCAAACTCACCACTTACTAAAGTTTTTTAGAATATCAAATAAGACCGAAATCGCGATTCATCTTTTAGTAATCTCGATAAATTAATTATCAAGAACTTAATCTGTTCTTATAACTTNTGGACTGCGACAGGCCAATAACTATTGACAGAACGAAGTCTGTCGGTACAACTAGTTTGTTAATAAAAACAAAAAACATCAAAATAAAATACTTAACAAGTACAAGAAATTGGCGATCTAAACTGAACACCAACTTTTTTAATATAATCCAACATGCAAATTGTTTGAATACATATTGTACGTAAACGTATTATGTATAAAATACAAGCAAGCATATATATAGAATTATGTTTATGTAAGCGTTTTAAATCACTTTCACTCTATTCGGAGGCTGTGTTGTGTTATTGTTATTAGGTTAGGTTAGTATTGTGCAACGCAGGTGGCCTTTAGACTTAAAAAAGAATAACGAAAATGGATAAATCATGCGAGCATTGTCTTCATGTTGACGTAACGTCCGTATTTTAATGTAAGCACCTCTACATTATCAAATTAATTGGTTACGTAAATAGAACAGGCCAGCGAAATACCTTTAATTACATTACCTACGTGCACACGTAGGTACGCTAAAAGGTTTGTATTTGCAATAAAATTTCCGCGATTTTCTTTATTATTGGAATAGGTGTAATTTATATCATCATCATCACCATGAGGTCGTCAGTTCTAAGACTGGTTGGACACGTACCTCCACTCTTTCCTATCCTGAGCTAAACTTCGTATTTCCCTAAAACTAGAACAGCCCACATCCTTAACTATTTGCGAAAAGTAATCTAACCCAGGTCTACTTCTACCCCTCGTAACTCCTGTTTCTGCCTCTNCAATAGAAAACAAAGCAAAAGTTTTATAGGTGCGTAGAACGTTAAATTAATTCACTTGTTATTATTTCTGGCTAAATATGCTTTTAAATAAAGCATATTCTTAAATTTTAACGAGGCAGTTTGCAAATGGTACTGTTCACTTTTGTCTAGCTCTCGCTCGATGATCGGTGGAGAAATGCGCTCCGCAGACAAATATGATTGAATTTGGAATTATGCTACGGCGCATCCTAATAAAGGGAAGGGGCATATCTCTAACTTCTTGAAACGAACAGTATATTGATGTAGATGGTATTCCATTATGCTTTCCGTAACTATACGACATCTAGCATTTTGTAAGTTTTTATGGATACGTTTGGTCTCTTGTGTTAGTGTTACCTACATAAACGAATAATTTATAATAAAAGAGGACGTACCAAATCATGAGTTGGAGAGTTGCCGTTTAAAGCAGTTTATTGTCTCTCATATCCTTAGTTTTATTGTCTACCTCATAAAACAATGAGACTTGAAGTAAAGTTCACTGAACATAAAGGAAATGGCGTTAATACAAAAGAACAATGGTTCACTTTAAGTGCTTAGAATTATCTTGAGTTTCTAAGGTGACGGAAAATAAAATTTTAAAGGAGCACCTTATCTAATTGTCATTCTATATGTGTATGTCCTTATATGCAATAAAAATGTTAGCACAGAGGACAAATTAAGACACAAGTAGATGCCTATATCAAGGGTGCACACAGTTCGAAATTAGGAACTGGTAAGTTTAAAATACATAGTTACTTGCGATTTTTTACAAGAATTGAGTGATTTTTACTCAGTGGTAATGTATTTATTACTCTACTCCTTTTAACTCCTGTTTCTGCCTCCAATATGTCTCTGACTAGACCTTCATGCCTAAGAAGGTGTCCTACCAACCTATCTCGCCTATTTTTTATTAACTTCTATAGAGTCCTCTGTTCTCCTATTCTTTCTAATACCCCTTCATTTCTAACCTTCTCTATTCACGGTATCCTCATCATTCGCCAGTAGTACCACATTTCAAACGCTTCTAACTTTTCCTTTTCCGCCGCGCTCACCGTCTATGTTACGCTCCCGTACAGTGTCCAGCTCCAAATATACACCTTTAACAATCTTTTTTAAATTTCTAAATTATCCATTCGCGAGCATAGAAGTGACTTCTTTTTATTAAAGGCGACACGACCCTGCGTTATCCTCTGCTTTATATCCCTACTACTTCTTCCGTCTTGACTTATCTGATTTCCTAGATACCTAAAATCAGCCACTTCTTCTAAACTTTCGTCTCCTATCTTTATATTCGCTCTTTCACTATTATTAAAAATACTAGATGTAAATAACAGCGGCTCAATTTTTGAAAAAGGGTTTATCCAAAATTCTTCAGTTTCACAAGAAACGTGCTACTGTCAACTATGCTTTTTATAAATGCAAGCAAAACTTCAAACCTTCACTTTGCGATTAAAAAATGTTTGTCTGCAGCATATATGTATACGACGACTTTTAACGATTATAGGGGTAAGTATAAGTAGTTACGAGTATCTACCCGCATTGTCCCAACTTGAACTAATCAAGCCAATCGATAAACTGCTACAATGACATTATTCTGATGTTTAATCCATTGCATACGATCCAAGCGTCCAATCGCGAAGGATAAAGGATATTGTAAGCGAAAATCCTGTTCTGAATATGTAATAATTCGGCCCAAATGAAACAGATTCTCTATGTAGACTAAGGTTGAGCTGGACAAAACTTTGGTCAAATAAGCTCCAGGCCTTACACCCAAAGTTACGCTTTCATCCTTGAACCCAAATTATATTTTAAATTTAAAGGACTTCGAATTAGTAATCACTTCGAAAAGCAATTAGCTTTAAAGCCCTATGCACATCGAAGCATTTTTGAAGAAATTGAAATAAACCCACAAACTAGAAAGGATTTTTGTAAAGTAATTCTTGTTTACGAAAGGGTTTGAAGTACATAATGAGCTGGAAGCACATTTTCAAGCAGAAAGCATTATACTGAACTTCATTTTAGTCAGCAATATTAAAACTATGATTTTCAAGTGTTATATACTAATTTTGCACCTGATCCTAGTGACATCCTTGAAATATTCTTGTTTAAAGGGCATAAATTCCAATAGAATAATGTCGGCAGTTTCAATTAATAATTTTTTGATCCAATGCATTAAGATGATCGGAACAATTTCATCTTAGAAGATGCAGTTTTCAAAACAATTTTTTTATATTTAGTATCTGTAAAAGGGAATAGCTTCACATTTTATACATTTATTGCATCAACAGTTTGCAAATAATTAGAAGAAATATTACTTAATTAAAATTCTAATCCATGTAACCATACATCAGTAGTTGATCTTTACTCAAAATAATTTGAACTTTAAAGCTATTTTATACGCTGACAGTAACATTCGTTTAGAAACAATATATTTATCACAGGATATATGATTCTTTGTACTCTGATAAGAGTTTCCTCTTTAGGATTATTTTGGTCTGAAGCTTGAACATATGCACAAAATAAAAATTCGTAAGTACTTTTGGAATTATTAACAAAACGTAGGCTCTTTAGTTCCCAGAGTAAGTAATTTCAGAAAGATTAGTTTGTTTATGTTTAATTGTGTATAATAACATTTTAAGAACAAAAGCATTAGTTTTGTCCTAATTTAGTTACAAATAATAATTGCAGATATGCAAGATGTGCTGCTGTTTCTTGACCAAATTTATAATAGAAATTATCCTTGAGTTTACCTACATTTTATTATTACCTTAGCAAACCATTCTGCAGAACTTTAAGGTGGTTCACGCAACACCATTTCGGCCCCGTGCCGAATCCGTATTACTAAACCTAAACCGACTTTTGTTACACCGAGCTAAAATATAGTAAATAGTCTGTAATCAAAGTACCTATTTAGCCCTGGGCGATGATAGATTTTAGTAAAATATTGATAAATCATTAATTATAGATAACAATCGATAATTATCCATAATTGTCGATATATTGACAAACATCGATATACATATAAGTATATGTAATTCGAACTATTGAAAGGGTATAGTTAACGTATAAATATCGACATATCGATATTTTTTAATAGATTAATAAATTCCAAGTATGACGACGTTCTTGGGGACTAGAAACGAAAAATATTTTCACTT